TTCAGACTAGGTATTATGAAGAAACTTCGTATGATGGGGGTGGTGAAACACTGGAACAGGTTGCCCAGAGAGGTGGTAGATGCCCCAGCCCTGACAACAGTCTGGGCCAGGTTGAACAGGGCTCTGAGCAACCTGATCCAACTGACCATGCCCCTGGTCAGTGCAGGGGCTTGGACAGGATGACCTTTACAAGTCCCTTCCAACCCAAATCATTCTATGATTCTACAATTCTACGATGTTAGGATTTAAATCAGTACGACTAAAATGGGGATTCATTTTGCCTTCGTGATTTCATTTTTAGAGCCAGTCCTCACGATACGGTTAGTTTTTCCTGCAGGTACTGGATGTCCCAAGCTATTGCCGTTTGCAGGAAGAGCTGGCTTTCACTATTTTGGAGGGCACAGACCCGTAATGTTTGGGAGCTCGTCACCACAGCAGCACATTGCTAAAGCCTCCTAGCACCTGGCTTGCTAACAGCTTTCCATTTGTGTGTCTCTAGGACTTGAGCCCATCTGAACCATACTTCCTTCTGTATCTTCTATCTCCTTCAGAGTTTGGAAATGGTGTGTTTCAGTAAGTCTGTCTTTCAATTCTAAGGACTTGAGAGCCGCCTAGTGGAGGCCTCTGTCAGAATCACAAATTTCAGCGCAGTCTCCTTTTTCTCCCAGCATACTTTTTATCACAGTCTCCTTTTTATCACATTCCATACTGGTATCACTCCTGACACCGTTCTTATAGCTGAACACCACGTAAGGACTCCAGTTTGTCTTTTTAACAGAAATGTGAATCTGTCTCTAAGACCCAAAGCTGAAATCGGGTTTTTTTTTAAAAAAAAAAAAGGCAGAATTGGAATTGTGTTGGTTTCCCACCATGACAAAAATCTTTTCTAACCTCACTGATGTCAGCATTAGACAACCTCATCAAGTAGTGGCCAGTACTAACAAGGAACTTAATTCTGTAGAACCAAGTCTGAATAAAATTAGAAAATACACAAGATGACAATGATACACTATATATTATTAATATAAAATATCATTATGGCTCGCCAGCATCAAAACTTACCAAATTAGGCAACCGTAAACTAAACAAAATTGTAATCACAAACAAATTCAGAATACAATAGAGAATTGTAATCACAACCGAATTCAGATAGTTATCTCTTCCTCTTGTTTTGCCTATAACACATTTGATTAATGATCATCAGTTGCAAAACCACACCACTGATGCATCAGGCCAAGCAGCAGTTATTCTAATTCATGTGTGTATAAAGTCAGTAATGTAGAAAGCTGTAAGCCAGACCATCTCTGACTTTTTTTAAAATCTGTCCATTATTGATTTACATGTAGAGGTTAACTAAAGATGAAAAAACATAATCAACCCTGTTTTAAGCCAGTCTGGACTTCAGGATTAAAATCTGATATTTATGTATATGTGCATTACTTAGAACTAAGCAACAGGAGTGTGGGCTTCCCACTCTTTTCAGAGTTGTAATAATGCAGGGCACTACATGAGGAGAGCATCCATTGCTCAGGAAAAGCCAGGGAAGAAGGGTGAAGGAGTCAGGGATGCTCCCAAAGCTTGGAAAGAAAAATGTCAGACTGGGTTTACAGAGAACACTGGGAATCAGAGGCACAGACAGACCCAGCAATGACACAATGTGGTTTACGTGTTATGGTTCTGGTGGGACCACAAACATGTCTGGTGATTCCTGTGAGGAACTACGGCATGCCTACAAGACGACACGGTGGGACTGGAGGCTAGTCAAAGAACGGGGAAAACCTGGAACAGGAAGCTATGGCAGTGATGTGAAAGAGTTGGAGATCTGCAACAAATCAGAGAGGCTCATCTCAAGGCAAGGAAGTGCCTTGAACAGCAATCTCAGGGTCTCCATGGCTGAGGTGCTATCTCATGACAGATCCGATTTCTCCATCGTTAGTGTGATGGAGAAATGAGTTTCTGCAAAGAAGTAAACATATTTTACAGACATTCCCCTTGACAGTAACAGGGTTTGCAGGTACCAGTGTGCTTCAAATTGCTGCAAGAGCCTGACTTATTGTGGCACTGATCTAGTTTTACCAACAGAAATGCCAGAAAGAAATTGATTTTTTAAAAAAACAAAAAACAAAAAAAAATCCACAATAAAACAAAGCATGCAATGTTATGAGTGAAATAATATCTTAAAGAAATGTCATTTTTTTTCCCCAAATCTAGTATCGACTCTGAACTGATTTCAACATCACTTTTAGAACACAGAAAAACTCCATCCAGCATCTGAAATCAAAACCACAAACAAAGATGAGAAGCTGAAAATGCCTATTTTTCATTTGGAAACCACAAACAGCTGTCAAAACAGAGACACCAAATGGTAGAAAGGTGGAATAAGTGCAACAAAGAAGCAACATCAACAAGAAGAGACCTCCTTACCCAAGAGAGAGAAGGACCAGAACAGCGAAAAGGCATATACACTTACGTCAGCGTACTTATTTCCTCTTAGAGGTTTGTCTGTCAAATCAAGAGAGTAACGGGAAACCTATTCCAGGAGCAGTGCACAAGAGAAGTCGTCTTCTTGTGATAGGAACAATCTTTCTGCTCTGTTAGCGTGTAACACCCTGTGCAGTGAGACCAATGTCTTTCTTCCCAGGCATGCCAAGCAATCCTGCTTTAAATTGCTATCCTAAATATACATATATATATATTACATTTTTACATTTATTATATTATTACATATACATTTACTACAGCTATTATGTAGTTGGGATTAAAAAACCCAACATGCATATATCTAGGCAGAACAGAACTGGAAAATATATAACAAAAAAAAACAAAAAAAACCCCAAAGCTCATTTCTTAACCAGATGCCATAGCATGCCCTCCCAGAATACTGCATCTGATCTGGACCATCGTTTCCATTTACCATGAGATTATGGTTTAATAAGCATGGGAATGTTTCTTCAAGGGAAATCCTTGGAAGCTTCTGAGCTGGTTATTCTAAGAAATGGTGGAGCCATATTACAAAATCCTGTTTCTTATACAGCATGCTTAAGCTTCTACAGGATGTTTAGCAGTTCAAGATATTTTGCTTTGTAGATAATTTGTCCCTGTTTCAAGATGAAGGAAAGAAATAATATATCTATATCCTGACTTTTAAGTATGCTTTCTTGATTGTAGGTTTGTAGCATTTTGCTTAGGGTGTTTTACTTCCTTAGGATCTGAAGGATTCCAGATTCACCAAGGAGATTAGAAAAGGGATCGTTTTTCTGTGTTCTTCCCCAGTGTTGAAGCTGATTATTTTGTGGAAAATAAGACAGCACTCTTTGACAAGATGTTCCATAGGACATAATCAAGGCAGACTATACACTCCCTAAGGTGTCTGTTCTCAGTGAGCAACCCTTCAAGGATCCAAGCAGGCAAGCCTTCCATCCTCCCAGGCAGGAGTTCTGGAGTAAAATGAAATGACACTGCAGTGCAGAACCAAGCATTAGCCTCTCTGTGCATCACTGACTTTGCCTGTAAGTGGGAACTGGCAAATTGTTCATGCCTCTTAGGATAAAGCAATATTAAAAGAAAAAATACTTCTCTGTGCACTTCTGTGAAATTTGCCTGTAAAGCATGCATAACAGTACCTGACAACAATCAACAAATGGGGGTAGAAATCTGCCTGCTGTGACACACTTTCATGAATTCTCTCCCAAGTCCCATGCTTACACACAAGACAGAAAGGAAAGGAAAGCTGTGTAAATGTGAAGAAAAAAAAAAAAACTGTAGAGGAAGAAAAATTAGGGGAAAAAAATAATTAAAGAGGTGGAAAATTCTGAGAAAGAGAAACGGAGACATCCAGCTTGGCTTCAGATACAAAGGGAGCTTTGTACCATCCTAACAGACAGTTTCCGAGCAAATACAATGTTAGCATAGCCTCATATATTTCCAGACAAGACGTGCAGTCATGGAAATTATAAAAAAGAATAAATAAAAACTGCTTCAAATGCAACAGACTCATGTAAGTTAGTGGTAATTCATTTTTAAAGTCATCCTAACTAGAATTAGTATTCTGAAAGGAGAGCCCTATCAAGGACTCCATTAATTGACAGAGACTGCGTTAAGGATATTGACTTTAACTGAACAGTACTGGCGAGAGAAGAGGGTAAGGATAAGGAAAAAGAGATTTTTTTAAAAAATAAGTTTATCTATAGCTTTCAGTCCTACTTATGCTGGTTTGGGCTGGAGTAGAGTGAATTTTCCTCATAGTCAGTAGTACGGGGCTACGTTTCGGATTTGTGCTGAAATCAGAGTTGGTAACGCAGGGATGTTTTAGTTAAAGCTGAGCAGCACTTACACAGAGCCAAGGCCTCTCCTGCCTCTCAGCCCACCCCACCAGTGAGGAGTTGGAGGGGACCCAGCTGAGCCCAGGGGTACCCCAGGGCAGTGGCCTCGTGCTCAGCACATACAGCTGGGGGGGAAGGCAGGAGGGAGGATGTTGGGGGTGATGGAGCCCGGCGGTCCTGGAGATGGCTGAGCACCCGCCTGCCCGCGGGGATGGGGAATGATCCCCTTGGTTCGCTTGTGCACACGACTTTTGCTTTACCTATTAAACTGTCTTATCTCAACCCACGAGTTCTCACTTTTCACTCTTCTGATTCTCTCCCCCATCCCACCAGGGGGGCAGTGAGTGAGGGGCTGTGTGGGGCTTTAGTTACCAGCTGGGAATAAACCAAGACCCTACTGTAAATAGGCTGAATACTGGAAATGAAAACAATTGCCTCAGATTGTTTCACACTAACAGCTGTGGTTGTTGAAATAGCTACAGACATTACGCATCAGATCTTCCTGTGAAAAACGACCAGTGCTCCACTGAATCTGAATCTATGCTGACTTATACCAAGTACATCCTGCACAGCATTGGTCACACAGGAAAGCAGATGGGAGGAGAAAGGAGGGAAAATAATTTATTTCTATTTGTATTTAATAAAGTTTGGCCTACAGGCTTTATGTGACTCAGTACTGAACATCTGGGATTGATCATAGGATCACAAACTGGAAAGCAGTCATCTGGCTTCTACAAATAAACACATTCAGTTCCTCTTCCACAACATTTTTTTTTTTAAATGAAAAAACTGCAACAGCCATTTTAAGGCTTTTTAATACTTGCAGCCACAGTATTTTTAACTTTTCAGTAATTTTTAATATTACTTTTTCGCATCACAGTATCAGATAAATTTCGTTTAATCCTGGACCGGCAGTAGTGCTTGGGATTGTCCTCCACACAAGCACACACGCACAATTAATTTCCTACTATTTCACTTCAAAATTTTATGAAACAATGGTAGCCTTGCAACTCCGATTTTTATTAGTTCCATTCCTCACAAGCGCCATGGGAGCAGCACAATATATGATGCAGGACGCGGCACTGATGAACTACATTGACCGGCGTTTCCTATCTTTAGAGGTATGTGCTAGCTGCATCATTCTCTAATACTGTCTCACTGCGGAGAGGTGTGAAAATGTATGAGTGTTCTTCTACTTGTGAGAGCAGTTTGTGAGATAAACAATATCAGGAAGATAAATTTCCAGCTTTTTCAAATCAGTAAGTAAAACTGTAGCTAAACCTTCACTATAATGATTCCTAACTACCACATCATCATTTAGCGCAGGATATAATTTCATAATGTTATATTTTTATTCTGTTATCACTTGTGGTTTTTTACAACAGCAATGAATTTGTAGCTAAATATGCAAAAGTTTATAGTACTGTCACAGTCCCTCCTAGGGAACGGCATAACCATAATGTCACGAGTAGGAGTGCTGTTAAGTATTAATAAGGAGATAGAAATTTATCAGGTATTTTCCTACGTACAGATGAGCTTACCTGGAGGAGTAGTTTAAGACACATTTGTGTGAACTAGTAGTGTATCTGCACTTTAACTAGGAGTTGAAATAATCCTCTTACAGCTGGGAGGCTGAAATAAGTATTTGCTCTCAATTAATTATATAAAAATCCCAGTACCTGATTCTTTTTGTGCAGTAAAAGTTTACCAGTACTGCAAAATACCTTTTCAGCATTGGCATGCTGTACTCAGACATAGTTTATCTTAAATTATTAACACGTCCTTGGCTCCTGATTTGCATCGGCAGACTTTTAGAGAAGCTTTAACTTGCCTGATCTCACATTCCCTTTTTGTACAAAGCTCTCGCTGGTCTTAATTTAACAACACAAAGAACCGAAGGATCAGCATGGTATTCTCTTCTGATTGTGTAGACTGAGATTCACATTTTCTTAGCCATATAGGAACAACTTCACGTGGTCATTTCCATTCGTTTGGCACCCATTAAGAATTATGCAATTCCACCTGTGGCATATGGTGCAGGAGGCACCAAACAACAGGAAAAAGGGTGAGGCAGGTATTGAAGAAAACATTTTAAATGAAGTTTTTGCAGAAAGTAATTAAGCAGCTTCCTGGGGACTTATGGTCACCTATAAATGGGAGGCAGGGGGCATACAGAAAAACCACACCTTGCAAAACAAATCGCCACCACCAAGTCTACACGGAGCACGTGCATACTGCACTCATTTTGTAAATTCAGACATCCCCAAGTCAACCACCACCTCGAAACAAAACACCTGAAATCCGTGCATCAGGCACCAAATTGGAACGCCCAGTCTAGCACTTAGACCTACTATGATTGTGTGTTTGGGCTTAAATATTGGGTCAATTTTCTCATCTTCCCACAGTGGCAGCTGGGTTTCTATTTTCAGGCCACCCACAATCATTACAGAAGCGTCTGCATTACAAAAGAGAAATCGCTTTCCTCACCTTTAAAAATGCTGATAACCTGAATCGAGGTATAAACAAACATCTGTACTTTTTTCAAATACAGCCAACAATTTAACAAAAAAACCCACAACATCTTCTCAAACACAGAGGTCAGTATTTCCATGTTCCATTTTAAGTGGATGAAAAGTAGATGCTGTCTTGGTCAGAAGTGTATTTATGTGAAATGTTCACATCTGTAAATCTGCAGAAAACTTTTTGAGACTGCTTCACCCGTGGTCCTAGAGGAGGAGTTCTGAAAAGTTTATGAAAAACAAGTAATTGGAGATCATGTGCCCTTAAGTATCTCTGGCTGTTTTCACCAGAGCATTTTTCCTTCTTTAGGCAGTAAAACAAAATATCTGTCAGTCACCACATCAAGAAAAAAAAAATCAGTGTATTTTTGTCCAGAACTGTGAATGCTAGTGCCAGTCCAATATGTCCTCTTCGTGTAGATGTAACAGCATCGGTTTGAAACAGATGGGGGGCAGAGGGACTGGGAAGGAGAGAATAGCACGGTTTTTAAAGTAATCATGACTGAGGTTGTAATCTCTACAGAATATACACGTGTATCATCTATTTTCTTCCTGTGTTCTAACTCAAGAAGAGGCTGGAAAAATGCAACCAAGACATACTGGATTATGTGGAAGAATTCCGAGACTTTTCACAGATGGTACTGTCCCGCCTGGCAGGACTGAACAGTTATAAGGCTGAGGTTAAAAATGAAGTAGAGAATTTGCTAACAAGGATTGAACGAGCACAAAGGGACATTGACTATTTTGGATCTGTCACAGATTCTAATACATGTATAGAAGTACATGAAGACCTGGTGAAACAGCAGCTACTTGAAGAAGCAGAAGAAAAAAAGAAACTTAAACTCATGCTTAATGCAAGTAAGAATGGTTTACTTCTCAGAACTTTGATGTGAACGAGCCAGTCCCCTAGCTAATGCATGCATGCTGACATAGGGATAGATTTTCACTAGTTATGGGAATACCACAGATAAGTGCATGGGGGTTTGACTGTGTAAATACTAGGTTTATATTTAAAAAAAAAATAAAAATAGCCAAACAACAAAAAAACATATGGGAGAAAGAGGGAAGAAAGTATAATTCAAAGATTTATTTGCAGATACTGTCCTGAGTATCAGACTGATTCTTTGGAAGCTGCTTTTTATTATAAAGCAATGTAAAAAGTCTCTGAAGGTATTCTGTTGCAATGTCCCAGAAAAAATGCCAGTGTATTTCTGAGTATTGCAGCTATACCAAGAAATTAATAGTGGCCTTTGTTTTTTGGAGTGGGCAAAGGTCAAAACCTCAACTCAAAAGTGAACTCCCAAGTTGATAAAATGACTTAATTCTCTTCTACAATTTGCATCTGCTTTACCGTCCTCCTCTGTTCTTTCTCACTCTCTCCCCTCTGTGTCCTTTATCAGGATGGCACACTGGCCCAGCTGCAAGCAAAGCTTAGTTCTGATTTGAAAATTATGTGTTAGAGTACCTAGTACGAAGAATATATACACAAGCTACACTTTTTTTAAAGCAAATTAGGTTTTATAAGTCTCTTTACCTTAAGAAAGTATAGGTGTAACTTTCATATTGTACACATATTTGAGGTAAGCTGTTTCCTTTTCATTCAAAAGTAATAAAAAATGAAAACAATAAGGTATATAAACTGCCATTTTTTAAAAAGCCAGATGAAAGATCTTCAGCATCATCGATTTTTTAATTCCACTAAATTCAACAGAATCAGACTGATTTAATTTTACAAATAAGTTTACATTTTGTTCCTTAATATTTTTTTGCTAAAAAAAGTGAAGCCAGATGGTAAAAGAAGCAATCACCTATTCTCCTTCTAAGTTCTAATTTTACACCACAACTCAGTGCTCTGAATTTCAAGATTTCTTTTTTCCATATATATTTTTTTTTAACATTAGGCATTCTTCTGAGAGAAAAGTTTTAGTATTTTTAAACTGACTATGAGAAGGACACATTGAAAACTAAATCTTTGAGAGTTTGAAGGGAAAAAACTTACTTTCCATTTTCCCTTGTTGGAAATTTAATTTTATTGCAGAAGTTCATAGTAACTTCAGTCAGTACTAGTCAGACGCTTGTCCTATTGAAGTTGCTGGCAAAACTAGTCCCTGTACAGATTTTACAGCACTTAAAAAAAGTAGCTGGACCCTCAACTCTAGCAGAGAGCAGCTCTGCTTCTATGTTATTATTAACTGGAAGTTACAATTAGTTTTGCTGAGTCACTCCAAAAACTAGGGGGAAAAAAAACAGTGTTTAAAGTCCAAGTTTGTTACTGGTTTTGGTTCAAATTCACACAGACTTGAAAATAACAATCAAGTAGAATCACTGTTTTTACATGCCGTAGTTGATACCTCATCCTGCGTTGGGTGAGAAACAGGAAACTATCTTCTGCACATTTTGGGGTATGATGAGAAACTTTGGGCTTTGGTGGTATCATTGTGGAGAATGTAGAAAAATTTCAGTAAACTTTTTGCTCACTGTAAATGTCTCGGTTTCTCAGCCTTCCTCCAAGGTGTTATGAAAGCCAAGGAGAGTTTAAAATCTTCTCTCCAGAAGACACTATTCATACGTCTCAGATAGTAATCTGGTTATTTCTCCTGCAGACAAAGATGTTGCTAAGGATGGCTAGTTTTAAGTTTTTAGAAACTTCAGAAACTATTCAACAGTTTTAAGTTTTTAGAATCTATCTAATCTATAAATGCTAGTTTGGGGAAAGGTATTGTGGTTTGCTCAGGGAAGGTACATCCAGAGTGAGGACTTCCAAGAAAAAAAATCCATGCTGGAGCAGCAGTAACCCTAGGCTTTGGTTACAGGGTATCAGTACACACAAATGACATAAAGGTTGTTTTCTACAGGCAACTGGAATCCTGCCACTGACTTCAATAGGTTCATATCAGGCCAAACAGGGAGGCTGGGTTTGCTTTCTCCGTTTCATCTACTGCCAGGACTCCCTGCCTTAGGGCTTTGTTTGTTCTGCTTACAAAAATGGCTGCACTTCACTAAAGGCAGTTCTTTAAACTTCAAATAGTGTCTCCTGTAATTTATGAGTGCCTTTGGTAAACAGGCTTGTTAATGTGCTATGCAGTAGAGTTTTTCCTGGAAAGGATGATACTTGATAAAGATCTTAGCATCTAAATACCTGAGTCTTCACAAGCTTGGTGCTGTTTGGTCTGAAACATCTGTGGAAAGTGCATAGAAAATGTAATGAAGCCAAAACTATGACTTGCTCCCTGCTGGTGCCAATTTAATCCCTATAGTGATGTAAAACACTGTTAATTCCACCAGTCACGCTTCTGGCAGAGGAACTGATAACACAGACATCATACTAGTTCCTTTAAAGACCACCTTAACGTATCAGCATTCACAGTTTTGTGATCTGTGTATTTGTTTGAGTTCCTTTGTGCAGCAGGTGTTGGGAAGTAGAATGGGAAGATAATCCAGTGTTTTGGCTTTCTGTTATGATGATCTATTTTTATTTGTCTTTATATTATAAATGCAAAATAAATGAGGCTAATGGAGGGTAGCAAATTCCTGAAACAAAAATACTATGCACATGGCATATCAGCAAAATGGATTTTAATGTGTATGCCTTCGATAAGAAATAAATTTTATTGTTTTACTGTATTGATATAAAACAGAAGTCACTTATCTGAAGTACTGACAAGAGTAATCACAGAATCCCTAACGGTGCTCTTGGTCTCTTCTCAGGTACACAAAGAGAATCCCTTTTGGATAACAGTGGTCTAATAGAGCAGAAAACAGCGCGCTTTGCGTAGCTGAAGATAGGCAGTTTCCTCAGCAGGAGATGCTGAATAGATCATATAAAATTAGCTTCCACACTACTTACATAGCCACACTGCTGACACACTTACTGCTATACTGACCCCGGCCTTAGAGCGGGATTAAAAGGAAACTAATTCAGAGAAAGGAAACTAGAAAATTCACAGATATTCTAATTTTTTTTTTTTTGTCTTTGGGTGTTTCCTTGCAGGTTGTGACCACATGCTTGCAGGTATTAAGTCCCTAAAGATAGTTAAGAAGACTGGAGATAAGCATGGCTCTTGGATGAAAGATCCTGGCAAAAAGCATACAAAGATTTATTTATTAAATGGTTCTGTAAATAATGTTATTTTGGAATTTGAAAACATCATGACATTCATGGAAGACAATCATACACTAAAAGCTCGCCGAGTCACCTTGCCATCTCCCTGGGAGGGAACTGGCCACATCATATATCAGGGTTTCTTGTTCTATCACAGATATGGCTCTCTAAATGAGATAATTAAATTCAATATCCCGAAAAGAAAGATAACTGACCAAATGCTACTGCCGGGGGCTGGAAGGGTTCCTGCCTATCAGCTTTCTCCATCTACAAAGATAGATCTTGCTATCGATGAGCAAGGGCTGTGGGCAATCCATGCAGAACCAGAGACTGGAGGAAACATTGTCATTACTAAAATCAACCACATAACCATGGCAGTGGAGCACGCTTGGGACACATCATGCAGCAGCAAGGATGCCGAGGCGGCTTTCATGGCATGCAACATGCTCTATGTTGTCTACAACTTCCCTAGCGGAGGCACCTCCCGCATACAATGTGTTTATGACGTTTTGGCTGCTGTAAATACTTATGAAATCCCAGTATTACATTTCCCCAAACGTCAAGGTAGCCATTCCACTATACATTACAATCCCAAAGAAAAGCAACTCTTCGCTTGGGGTGACGGATCTCAGATCATTTACAAGCTTCACACAAAGCCAAAAGTTTAGAATCTTCAGCAACTTTTCACATACACTTAAAATCTAGCAGGGCAATGTCAACGCGGTCATTGCAGTGTAGTAAAATTACATTATTCCCAGCTATTACAACTTTCATCTCTTTTACATAAATTTAGGTTTACATACTCCACTGATCTTAAGCTCATGTCCAATTAAGACTATGTAAAGACTCCATTAATATAAATTACATGATGACTAAATACCACACATGTGCAACCCCACACACACAAATTAGTCTTAAAGACTAAGGTTAATTAAAAACCACAATAATCCATCTCTGACATATTCTCTCCCTATCAAATCTAGGCATTCTGGTTCAGTGCCACGGAAATCAAATCAGAAGTCCCTCCTGTCCAATCCACATTATCTGACAACCTTCACCACCCTGAAGCTCGCTGCAGGAAGCCTTCTTGTAAGCACTATAAAGTCACACGCTTCCAGAGAAATTATCTATCAACTTTTAACAGGTTTATTATATCACAAAGCATAACAGTATACATCCTCACAAACATGGTTTATTTTTAACATATAGTTCCTGTACATTCCATCAAGGCTATTCCTAATCACTGAACTTTTAGACTATTTCCACGAAATTTCCACATTTTTGTTATGCATATAGCCGTACAATTCACTTGTGATCCTGCTAATATGTTAGCTGCAGCTAAATATTCACTCTTATCAGCTTCAATTTGCCACCTTCCATTTTTTTTTCAGCATATCACTGCCTGTGTGTCAGAAGGAATGTTCCTAGATGATCTGTTCTGGATCAGACACTATTTTAAAATGTTTTCCGTATCACCCTTGGTTTCCTTTCTTATTAGGCCTCTTTCAGCATCTAGTTGCGAGGCATTTTCTCAGTACTTCAAGTCACTTCCATGGCAGAACCTTGCTCGTCCTGTCCTCTGACTCCATCAAAATATCTGTCCAGAAAAGGTGGCCCTGATGTGCACAAGAGTGCAAGTGAGGGCATGCCACTGGTCAGTCCTGGGTTTGTGAGGAACAGATACACTCCAGGTAAATACAAACACATTTTTGTTTTGAAAATAGTATTAGAAAACCCCAAACAAACCCTTTTACTTGTGAAACACTGGTACTGGCTGTAATTTTTTGGATTTTAATGACAGATGCATTTCTGTTTAATATCAACAACAAAAACCCAGAAAAAAATGGTGCTTGAAAAGCAATCTACAGCTGTTTCTACAGAAAGCCCATTTTGTTCTTTACACTGAAAGAGTTGCTGTTCTGTTTAAAAACAGCATCAATGGAACAGCCAAACATCAGGGAATGATTCTGAAAAGGAGTTCCAGAATACAACTAAGAGTGTACGGACTGCTGAGTTGCAAGAGCACTACTCTGCTTTTAGCAAAAGAAACTATATTGTTCTAGGCAGCCTTAACGACTATAGCATTACTTCTGCGCGCTGAAGCAGCCGTAGGAAGCACAGTTAAAGACATCCTCAGGCTGAAAGCAAGGTGGGCTGGCACCGATTTCCTGTGTGACCCTGGGTCAAAGGCAGATTTAACTATTTGACTTTTTATTCCTCATCTGTAAAATTACAAACGCAGAAATACAAAATGGTATCAGCCACCTTTGGAACACTTTGAGATCTTTTACTGCAACAGGATGTGTAATTTACTTAACAAATAAAGGCTTTTGATGTAAATACGGACTGAGTCTGATCTATAGAAAAGGGATTTCTGGAATATGATACGTGCCACGCTATTACACAACCAAGAAAGCCTACACTGTTGTTCTGTACAGAGATTTCGAAGAGCAATCCTCCAAAGTTCAGACAGGGTCCTCTCTGAACCCTGCTGCTTCAATATGCTCTGAACCTTCCAATCTTCATAATGAATTAAAGTTACCACCTCATTTTTATAAAAGGAGGAAGTTTTGTACAGATAAGCTTCACTAGATTATTTCATACCGTACAAAATGCGAGAGAAATGAAAACAAGAAAAGAGAACAAAGGTGATCAGTTAACATTCAGGCAAGAGAAAGAAGGCATACTTTCTCCTCCAGCTTCCTGATATATATATATGGATTTGATGCATTTTCATAACTGGTAGCACACAAACAGATATTTTTGAGAAAGTCAGAAGAGGAATTTGGTTAACTCTGAGATGACAGAGGGCCAAAATAAGGATGGCTTGTTCAGAATCAGAAAGGGAAGAATCACAAATAACTGAATAATCTGCTCCAAGATACCAGTCTCCACAAAGCAAGGCCAAAGTGCTCTCGGCGAGGCAGTAGTAAGCCATGGAAGACTGCATGTAAGAAAGCATTGGCTTCTAGTTCAGGTAGATGATGACTGTTACCATGGCAATGAAATTGGTACAAGGAAATGAAGACAGAAAAGTCTTCATCAGGAACAAAAACTACAGAAATGACAGATTATAACCTCTACATTCACCATCTAGATAACATCCACTATTGTCCTTATTACTCAAGTCCTTTCACGCTGTGCCTTCTCCATGTGCCTGTTTCATCTCTATCACGGGCTTTTTGCTTTTTCAGTGCTGCATTTTCATTTTCAGACTCTACAGACAGGTCCTCTTGGGTGGGCTCTGCTGCAGCTCTCAGTGGAATCCAGCATTCTCCACTATGACAGCTGGATCATCATCCTCTTAACAAGAGCAGCAGCACTCCTCGATGCTTTGGCTGTGAAAAAGGCCCCTCTCCTCTCCACTGATACCAGTCCCCCCCATCCTTTTCCTGCACTAAATCATGACTGCCCCCTCCCAAGGTGAGATCAGATAGCAGGGATTCACTGCACAGATACTCATCTTCCATGCCCTCCATTCTTTCTGCCAGCTCTTCTGAAGAGAGCAAGCTCAGGTCAGGATAATCCACAAGGATTATATCCTGATTGCACTTGAAGCAATTGGAATTATCATAGACAGGAGGGTTTTCAGCATTCTCCAATTTATTGGCACTTCTATGATGAATTTAAGCTTTCTGACAGCAGTGTGCTTTCTTCTTTCGATTTTGTGGATGCCAGGGATCTGAGGACTGTATGCTAAAAGCAACTGCTTTACTAGTATAGCAAAGCTGGATGCTAGGAGCGTGGTGTAAACTATGCCAGTATAACTAGGTTTATTTTCACAGTGTCCAGAGAGATATGATTATTTCTCAGAAAATAATCTTCCTTTCTCTTTTTCTTCTTCATTTCTGTCTGCCTGGATCTGGAGGACAAGAGCTTCTTCTAGCACTCATGCAAGCAGCCACCATAATAAAAACACACACAACATGATTATTACCGATGAGTTTATCGCTAAGTGATGCGACTACTGCAGGTTTACCGTCATCCTGCTACCTAACAGTCCATGTTTTTCCCTGGGTGTTGTTTCCCACCCTCTGTGTTTGTCCCCAGTCAGAGGACACTGTTGCAAAGACATGCATGGAAGCTCAGAAAAGAAACTGCAGAACTGAAACTGTTACGATACAGCTCTCCTAATACTGAAGGAATAGCTCCTCCTGAAGGCAAAAATTAGGACCTGTGGCTCTAAATTATTTGGACTTTGCATGGTTTTGCGTTGCATATAAGAGAATACTTTTTAATTATATTTGCACTATATTGAGCCCTAAGCCCCCGAAAAGGAATATACAATGCGAGGAGTGCAGTTACAAGAAAATCCAAAGTGCAGACAAGCCCCGTTTACAGATGTGCTGGGGAATGACAGCAGGGTGATTTCTTGCTGAAGAACTGGCACCCTGCCTGGCATCGCTTAGAGCGAGTAATGGATTTCAGTACTCATTGATAGACTATGATAGTCACTGCTTATATTGGTCAGAACTCTGCCCGTACCTCCTCAACAGCTTGATTTCTGTGCTGATTTCTTCATGGTGACACTTCCCCCCATTCATGTCTATTCAGGGCCTAATCCAAAGGCTGCTGGTGGAACTGAAAGTTTCTAACCCCTGTTGTGTCTCCATAATATCACACTTGTGTGTCTCTACAACATGTTTTCTTTCCTTCGTTTAAAAGTGGATTTATCTGGATCTCAAAAATCAGGCAGTATTGGCATGAATACTTTGTAAAATTTTATTTGGGAGGCCAAATTTTGCTCTTATGTACATCCCACAAAGCCTCGTTCACACTGAAACGGGTATCAAAAGTGTGTATCAGTGAGGAAGTTGACCTTTGCTATTAAATGCGCCATGAAATTCTATGATGTCATTACTTCAACTACACAGGGCATTTAGAAAAACAAAACATTGCTAACAGTTCCCCATATTTTAAGGGATAATACTGAATAACTGAACCTGCACAAAAAAAAGAGCGATTCACATAGGGAGTTTCCCTAAGAAACAAGGTCTATAAGAAACAAACTTCTTACAGTGGGTTACTCTTAAAACACGCATGAAAAGACAAATATTGGAGCTTTGTTAATCTTCTTAGTATCTTAAAAGTGTAAAATTATTTTCTTGTGATTGAAACAGTTTACTTCAAATAAAAAAATCTTGTACTTAGTGACATGAAAATAAGATTATCTGGAAGTCATAAACAAAATATAAAGGGGGCACACATACATGCCCAGTACGGCAGGATTCTCAGTATTAGGAGTGGGTTTAATTTATAACTTTCCCAACATTTTCCAATGCTACCTCTGCTTGTAATTATAATTTTCTTAGTTAGCTGGAAGATGAAAGAATCCAACGTATGAACACTAATTGCTGACGCAGTGAGTTAGATCATAAACTTTTTACATGTTTATCTGTCATCCAAATACTATTTGATAAGCAATCCTCTTTACAGTATTTTGGGGACCAGCACTGATTTTATACTTTGTACTTTTTTTCTGATTCCATGTAATGCCTGCAATTATCTGTAACCATTAACAAATACCCAGGAAGAATTAAGCACTTCTGTGGGTTTTTAAATATAGTTTTATCAGAATATTTAATTCAAACAACACGTGCTTTATCAGAATATTTGTTTTAAACACCACATATGCCCAGTTGCTTTTTCTTTTAAAGGCCCAGCCTTACACTGTTTGCATCATCACTGTCCATTTACTTCAACTGAGGATGAGAAGATAAAGTGTCACTGTAATTTCCTGTGTACATACTCAATTTGAAATTGATACTGTCCCATGTGGGCAGACGGCTCTCCCTGTAAGAGCTACAAAGATTTACTTTGGCTTTGTGGTCACATTGTATTTTTCCAAAATCAATTTTAATGTGTCTGCAAGATGCATGCCAGCTTTCCAGTGCCACATGTGCAGTTGGTAAAAACCAACTTTGACAGAAAAGGTTTGCTTCAGAATAGGTGCAAAACCTGATTTAAAGGCTTAGCTCTTCTTTATATGGATCCAGAAAACTGAGAGAACCATCTGAAAATTTATTTCAGTCCCAGAGGCAATCATCTCTGAAGTATGTGCAGAACTGTGTCCATGTGGAAAACGTTATCTCCTATCAGGATCTCAAAAAAATTCTATTTCAGTAACTTTTTAGCAAAAGCAATTTTGCTGAATGTTATGAATTTCTTGTTTTCTCCCCCATCCTGGAAGCTAGTGAATCTATCCAGAAAAAAAAATGCATTTCCTATTCAATTCTTTGGCCATAAAATGCAAACATAAACTTGGAGGATTAATGATGGTGGCAAAGTCAAAATGCATTGCTCTAAGTTTATAGGACTTGCATGTAGACAAACTGAAACAGCCTCCAGGATACCCTGCACCCTTTTCTTTTCCTGGCATAAGCATCCTAAGAAAAATAACATATTCCCATCCTTCTTGCATATTTGATAGAGCTACATTCCTAATCCGTCTTATCAACATATAATTTATTAAATTTCAAATAAATATCATTCATGCCCCAACTTACTAATACCATAACTTACGTGACATATAATTTGGATAAAACTTTTTCTTATCAAATTTGTAATGAAAATATTTGTTTTACTAACTAAAAGGTATAAAGGATGTGCTTTTTTCCTAAGCAATTTAATATATGTTAGCATCAGTCGCATACTTGTATGTTTATGTTCTGACATGTACTAGGGCACATACATAAACAGAAAAAAAAAGGCACACAACTGTACAAATATAGAACAATTCATATATGTCAGCAGAGTTTTCCAGGTGAAATCAGAGCCCTAAACCAATGTCTCTAAGCTTATTTCATAACCCAAAACACAGCACCTCCTTTTT